TATAATTTCCTCTTAGCTCTTTGTTTTTGATGTGCATAATGTAACGTGCATTTGGATTAAAACAGGGTGCTTGTTTTCAATTAAATGAGGATTGGTGTATGAAAATCATCAGAATTATTTACATGACTCTTGAGGTGGGGATGGGCTTTTGCAGAATCATTTGGCTGTAATCGACAGAGTTATTCAGACTCTTTACGGGGAACAGAAATCGCAGTGGCTGTAACATACTCCAGCCAAGACCGTTGAATTTCCATCCCATTCACCGGGCTGTTAGCATCAGAGAAACACAGTTCCACTCCAATCAGGCGAGGCATAAAAAATAAAAGCCATCGTTACTGACCCACCATTAGTGACATACACAGAGCAGGGAGGTCGAAGGGGACCAAAGGAGTGTATGTGACGTGCCTTGGGGACACAGCTGTGCTTTCCAGCTGGAAGGCACATCTGATAGTGGAGCTGTCTGTGGAATGGTGGATAACCATGTGCTTGGGAGGCTAAACCAGGCTGGCTGAGAAATAAGATGATGGACAGTGGGAAAATAAGAGCCTGAGAGGTGTAGACAAAGTAGCCCAATGGTCAATTCCCTTTCCTCACAGACAGTGCGGTGAACGTTTGATTAATACGGACCCAGAGCACGTGACCTGCTCATCTTCACTAGGTGCTGCTCTGGAGCAGCCAGGGTTTGACATGACAGCCAGAGGATAAATTGCTGCCTCAGGAAACTCTTTGCCTTTGACTGATGGCTGAATGGCTGGCTGGCAAATGGATTTTGGCATCTTTCCCTAAGTCATTTTGGTCCCATTCCTTCATTTTTTTTTGTTGTTGTTGTTAATGCCGGGAAGTGTGTCTTCACGTTGTAGTTAAAAATATGTTGACAACACAAATATGGGGAACAGTGTGTTCTATTTTGGGGAAGACGTTGCAGGCTGCGATGGTCCCATTTATATCACTGAAACAAGACTGATATGGTTTGAGAGATGGCATGAATTACCCTGGCAGCAGAAAACAGAATCAGAGCTGAATCCTACTCACCTTCCTCACAGTCTAGGGCTCCAGGGCCTGAGCGCTTGAGTCCTTAGGGAGCTTCTGTTCTGATATTACCAGGCATTTTGCATAATAAATCTTCCCTTTCTCCCAAATTCCCCTAGACTGTGCAACTGCAACTCCCCCTAGACACCTATCCTGTCACCTCTAGCCAGAATGATCGAGGTGGGGGTTAAGAACATGAACTCAGAATCCTGCTTGTTCCACTGGTTGGTTTGGTAACCTTCAATACGTCACTGAACCTCTGTGAGCCTCGCTTTTGCCATCTGTAGGAGGGAACTCTGACAATGAGTAACCCCAGCATGCTTTCTTCATTGTGACTTTTTTCCCCCCCAAGGTTAATTGTAAGATTTTAAAATGTGGCATATTATATGCTGATGTTTGTTTTTCTAAGAGTACCTTCATAAAGTGTTGGAGGAATGTGTACTTGTGTTTGTGCTTTTTCAAAGTAAGTCGATGATGTTATACTGGAGGCTCAGAAACCTTGGTAGCAGGTAAAAATGGAAGCCCTTGCATGGGTATGAAGGCTCAAGTCCTGCGCCTGAGTGTGTGGTGCACTTCAGTGTCCTGGCATTGGCTTTAGCTCCTGGTACTCTGGTACAGCCTGTCACCCTTGCCCTAAGGATTAGCTCTTCTCAGTCTTCATCATAATGGTTGATTCTGCTGCTCTTGTATTTTCTTTTAACATTATTTGTATTTCATTGTTTTAAGATCCAGTTCTATGGGCTCTGGGATTTCTCTCCCCCTTCCCCACACTGATTTCCCCTATATTATTACAATATTATAGTTCTTAATAAGCAGTCATAAGTCCATCATTCTATTTAAGTGTATCCTGATATTGTAGGTATAGGCAATAGCAGACAATCAAGCATTCTGTTGTCAAGATTGACTTGTTTCATTAGGTGTTCATCTTGGATTTGGAAGTGGAAATGAATTGTAACTTTACAACTCGATATGATAGTCTCTGCTACAAGTTACTATACATCTAATTAAATGAAAATCCATACAAAATCAACAACAGGAAGAAAAATAGAAAATTTACAACAACATGAATTTAAATAGCATGCTACTGAATGACCAATGTGTTGCTGAGAAAGAAAATTAAAAACCTGCTTGAAGTAAATTTTGTAGCAAAATACATAACACATACCCATCTTAACTGTTTTTCTGTGATAGTAGGGTCATGCACATGGCTATGTGACCTGCACTGCCCTTTCTCTCCAAAATTGTTTTAATCACAAGAAGTGACATCTTAACAGCCATTAAACGGTAACTACCCATTTTTCTCCTCAACCCTTGCTAGCCACCATTTTCTCTTGTTTTTGGGAATTTGACTTCTCTAGTAACTTCACACAAGAAGAGTCTTAAAAGTATTGTCACATTGTGATTTAGTTATTTCATGTGGCATAATGTCATCAGGGTTTAGCCATGCTGTAGTAGGTGTCTGAATATTCTTCCTTTTTAAGGCTGAACTAACATTCCCTTGCTTGTATACACCACACTTTTCTCAGCCTTTTTTCTTGTGTATGTTAACACTTTGACTGTTATAAATGATGCTGCTGTAAGCATGAATAGACATGTGGTTCTTTAGGTCCTTGTTTCTGATTCTTTTGTTTGTATTCCAGGAGCAGAATTGCTGATAATATAGTAACTCAATTTTTAACTTTTTAAGGAACCACCAACAGCTGTCCTGATTTACATTCCCACCAATTGCTTATGTCTTTTTGAAAAAGAGTTATTATAACTTGGTTATTTATTCTATCCTTTGTATGTGTGTGATTCCTTTATCAGAAACCTCAGACACATTGACTATCCACCTGGCAACAGTATTAAAGATAGAGAAATCTGAAAGAGTGATGACAGTGAATTTAAACCACTCAGTATTTTATGCAGTTGATTCAGTGCTACTGTACACAGTGTGTCGATAGCATCTGAGAATCTACATATGGAGATAGAAGAGGCATTTTGCCTTACAGGATGTTCTATACATTTTTCAAGTTAACTTGGCTGTCTTAGTTCCCAAGCATTTCTAGTTAGCTACAAAAGAAAACTTGCAGGAAAAGAGATGTGGAAAAAATCCATAAAAGTCAGCTCTATCTGTGAGATGTCTTAGTTAGATCCGATGCTTTTTTCTAGCATAGAGAAAAATATGGGAAAATGAATGCCAGTTTAAAATAAGACTTAATTACCAACTAGGACAATTCCTAAGATACAATATAGACTGAAAAAGATTTACTGAATGAATGGATTAGGGAGACAATTTTCTCTGAATTAAAAAAATTAACAAATCTAACTAATCTGATCCTATATATTTCAATGTTTAGTGACTAGCCTCCAGTACACTTTGGTGCAAAAAATAACTGCACTAAAGCTTAGAGACATGGAAATACCAATCATAACTCACATTAATATCCTAGTAATTGAGGACTAACACAGATAAAATCAGTCATAAAGATGAGGGTTCAAGGGTGGGCATTTGGTAGGGTGGTTAAGATGGAGTTTAGGATACCTGGCACCCCACATTCAAGTGCCTGAGTACAAGTGTCAGCTCTGCTCCTGGTCTGAGCTTCCTGCCAGGGCACACCCTGGGAAGCAGCAGAGTGTGGCTCAAGTACTTGAGTTCCTGCCACTGACGTGGGACGTGTGGATGGGTGCTAGGCTCTCAGCTTTAGCCTGACCTAATTGTGCCTGGCAAGGGTTTTTGTGGAGTGAATCAGAAGATGGAGGATCTCTCTGTGTCTGTTTCCTTCTCTCTGTTTTTCTAATAAATAAAAGCAATTAATTTCCCGTTTTTTATTATTTTTGAAAGTCAATGGTAATATATAAGTTACAAGTACTTTATAAAGCAAACGTTTCTGATGAAAAAATAGAATTCTTCCACTTCTGGAATACTACAAATATTTTCCTACTAAACCTATAGTATAAGATTTATAATTAGCAATATCTCATATAAATGAATGGTATCCTGTTCATGTATAAAACAAATGAAGGTAATATTGTTCCCCAAATATGCTATATTTCAAAAATTTTAATAATGTAGACTAGACTTTCTTCGAACTACTTAGAATCAGTGACCTTTACTTATAAGTCCAGAATAGCTTTTATTTGAAAATATTGAGATTTGGGGAAATTAAACCATTTATGCTTTGCTAGACACATTGGAGTTAAAATGCTAAAAAAAAAAAGTTGTATTTGTTTATTTGAAAATCACAGTTACAGAGAGGAAGGAAGAGGCAGAGAGAGCTCATCTGTCTGCTGGTTTACTCTAGGACGTCACATAGGCCAGTGCTAGGCTAGGCTGAAGCCACAAGGGAGAGTTTCATCCAGGCATGTTATGTGGGTGGCACAGACCATCTTCTACTGCTTTTCCCAGGCCATTAGCAGAGAGCTTCATTGGACATATGCTTCAAAGCTTTGTGGAATTAAAGATAACATTGATTTTCCTTAAACTCTTTGAAGATCGCTTGCAGATTGGTGTTGTGCCTTTTCTCTCGATTTCCAGGTCTGTTTTGAATCCAGGGATAGCATTTCTGGTACTGGTTGACTGACTGATGGACCACAGGCAAGATGACTTTTTAATTTAAGATCATCAAAAAGGGATTCTGCGGAGCCACTTTCTGATGACTGGGTGGCTTCCTCCCCTCCTTGGCTTGCTTGCTTTTCCAACTAAGCGGCTACAGCCTGGAGGAAGCTGGAGGACATACACCTGCCTTTCTATGAGGAACCTGTGGTGTCCTTAAGCTCCGAGAGTCCTTAAGAGGGACTAGGCTTCCAGGCTCTGAATTGAGTGTATGGCAAACTCTCTTGGGAGAGGAGTGCTGTAGTTATGTTCCTAGGTGCTGAAGACACTGTCATCTGATGAGCTCCTTCATTTGCTTGCCTGAACATGTAATTAAAAAAAAAAATCTATTGTATTCTGGTGTATTTTAAACCCTTCTCTTGCCTTCTTCTCTTAGATTGAGGAAGATACATGGCAGAAATACTACTTGGAAGGAGTCTCAAATGAAATGTACACAGAATATCTCTCCAGTGCCTTCGTGGGTCTGTCCTTCCCTACTGTTTGTGAGTAAGTGACTGTTAACTAGACTCCTTACTTCCCAAGGATACTGAAGGTGCCCCTTGCAAGAAAACTACCCCCTTCTTCCCAACACAGTTGGGGTACCAGGAAATTACTAAAGGCATCCTGTGTGTTTCACTCTCTGCTGGGGGCAGGAAGGCAAGGTATTAGTCTTTCCCTCCAGGCCAGAGAGTCTTGGATGTGGACCCTTGTTTGTAATAACATGACTGTGTGTCTTCAGTTATGCTCCTGTGATGTGGACACCTGTATGGAGAATGGCATGAGTTCATGTCTCTAATAGGGGAACAAAAAATCCTGCAGTATCAAATCTATATATTTTTAAGATTTATTTGTTTATTTACTTGAAAGCCAGAATTAGGGAGAGAGGGAGAGAGAAAGAAAGAGAGACGTCTTCCATCGGCTGGCTGGCTTCTCAGATGGCTGCAACAGCCAGAGCTGAGCTGGCCTGAAGCTGGGATTCAGGGGCTTTTTATGGGTGTCTCACATAGCTGCAGGGACCCAACAGGCTGTACTGTAAGATTTCTCCTTCTTTGGGCCATCTTCTGAAGCTTTCCCAGACAATAAGCAAGGAGCTGGATTGGAAGTGGAGCCTCTGGGACATGAACCAGTGCCCATATGGGATGCTGGCACTGCAGTCAGTAGGTTAGCTTGCTAAGGCCACTGTGCTGGCCCCATAACCAAATCTTTTTAATTTGAATCTGTCTTGCGTTGAATTCACATCGTAGAAACATCAGTAAGCTACTGGAATGAACTCACTCAGGCTGTTTCCACGTTTTTCTGAGGACCTGTGGATCCAAACAGAGAAGACCTAAAAACATCCTTAGCAATCTCATCCCATGTGGACAATTGCCGCGGTGTCATAGTCACAGGGATTAGCATCTCCTAACTGGCTCGACAGGTTGGATGGGAGCAAGGGGCAGCCACACCTGCTGTGGCCCCTCCCAGAAGAACAGGTGATCCCTGATGAAGATGATCTCAGGAGCTCCAGGTGTCATGCCTGCCAGCTTGACCATGGCAGTGTCTGATTCCCGGCTTAGAGTCCCAGATGATGGGTTTCTTCCTTCTACTAAAATGCAAGCTTCCTGTAGATGGTGAAACATAAAGCCCAGTCCATTGACACCTTAACAAAAGATCTGATAAATGCTGTCTCACTGATAAAAATTAGAAAGAAATGAAAAGATGGAGAAATCTGAGAACCTATTTGAGGAAGAAAAGCCATTCCCTCTGCTCCCTGCTTGCTTACAGACAAAATCCACCTTCTGGAAAGTAAGGTCTAAAGGTGGTGAGAAGTAAGTGTGTGCCCTTTAAGTAAAACGGAGGCTGCTCCTGAGGGCTCTGGCTCTCCTGTTTCACTATGTCCTGTTCTGTAGGTGGCAGGGAAGGAGGGAACCAAGGGCTTTGCCCCTTTTTGTTTACCTAGAGATCTTGTCAGTGAACACGGCAGGTGCACTCTGCCAGTCCCTGGGCCCAGACCCTCAGCAACAGAAAATGGTTTGGCTGTTTACTAAAATTTCTCACCGTTTCTCTAAGCATAAGTTTAAATGCTAAATGGACTGGAAAAGTGAATAGGTAATTGATTTGGAAGGAGTTATTTTCTGAAAATGGATGCCCTGTTGTCACTCCCATACTTTTCTTCTTTGAAAGCGATTTCTCCTGCCAGGGAAAGAAGTTAACTGTGCAAAGCCTTGGGTCTTGGAACATTGAGGCTGTCCTGTAAGATTTCTTTTTTGGCACCTGGCCTGGCTAGGGCAGAAAGGCCCAGAGAAATCAGAGATTAAAACAGAAGCTGGCTCTGTGAAGCATGTAGTTGAGGTCTTCTGTGTCTGATGTGGGAGTAGGTCTGAGTCCAGTGCCAGCGTAGGAGGTGTCCTAGGCATCAACAGAGGGTGGTGAACTCCTGCCTCCACCAACTCCAGTCCTCAGGCATTGAATTTCCCTGGGATGTCTTACAGTTCTATCCAATATGACTATGCCTTCTAAAGTCCCCTGGCTCTTCCTGTTTTCTGTCTTATTCTATGGCTGGGATCCAAGTGAGTTCATTTCAAGACTGCCCAGAAGGGTTAGAACTGTTCCCAGCAGAGGCTGTGACTGAGAATACTTAGAGGGTTGACCTATAGTATTTGATTTCTTAAAATTTAACTACTAATATTTTAAAAGTAAATGTATTTCACATACAAGCTAGACTCCTGGGCCCCTTGAAAGCTATGATGTGACCACACAAAGCCTGCCTTTCTGCAAGGTGCTCATTGGCTCTGGTTTAACATAGCCAAGGGGGTCAGAACCATTCTTCCACTTCCTGCTTATCTTAAATCAGGCCAGATTTGAATCTGCAGCCCAGGCTTGGCCCATGGACCTGCAAGGTTGCCAACATTGGCCAGTGACAGTGTGAAACTTCGCTGCCTTCAGGCACGAGGGGCTGTTTTGACAATTTTACTTGATCAGTTTATATAATTTAGAACATGTCCCAAGGAGGAGAAAGGCCTTCAGACCTGATTTATCAGAGAATTTAGCATTAGTTCAGTAAAGCTTTTGGAGTCATTAAAAAAAAAAAAAGACAGCCCAAGTTCTGGTGTGAGTGAGCATGTGTTAGATTCTGTGCTATTATTCGTTTAATACAATGATACAGCTGAGGTAGAAATAATCAATAAAGAAAGGACATTTAATGAGATTTAGGAACATCCCAAAACATTGAAGCTCTCCTCAAGCATTTGATTATCTGGGGGCTTAATTATCTGTGTTTTCTACTTTAAATTAAAGAAAAGCCATAACTCAAAGTTACCAGCAGCTTAATGATAACACTCTTCAATTCAGGTTAATTAAAGCACAGCCGTAATTGGAGTGTAGTGTTGTATATCACCGGGCTGGCGCATAAGTATTTCCATTACAGTAAGAATTGGCTATTCCATTTTAAGATGACATAAAGGACGCCAAAATATATTTTATGCTGGTTCATAGAGAAGAAAAAAGAATTGAGGAATATTCTGGGCATAATAAAGTACAGATAAAATATACAGATTTTCAGAGCAGTTTCTGTAATTATGTGCTGCACCAAAACAATATGCAACCATAATGTCTTAAAGCACACAGAGAAATAAATGTGCCCTTCCCCTGGGCGAATGTCTCCTTGTAGGGTAGGGTCTCCACACAGGAGAGCTGGGAGTCCTCCCCAAAGCTAAGAGTCATTCTATGAAAAGGTAAGAGCACGGCATGCATGGGTGAAATTCAAGGTCATCTCCCAAGAGAACAGGAAGTAAGTAGAAGAGAAGCAGGAGGCTCAGGAACCCCAGCCTTCCACCCAGTGCTAGCTCCTAAAAAATTCTCAGCCAAGAGGTAATCCTTGTTATCCAGCATGAGACTGCTTCTCTATTTTGTACCTTTGCATTTTGGTTACACTGTGTGTGCAAACAAAAACGCAAAATTGCATCTAATATTATATCTGTATTTTCTCATTTATCCTCACCAGTCCCCAAATATCCATATCAATATCTCCATTTTGTAAACACAGACATGGGGACCCAGAGGACATAGGGGTCCTTCCAAAGCCACCTGCCAGACAAGTCTCCCAGCCAGACTTTCATCATGTGGCCTTATATGAGGGAGAATGATTTGGAGTGGGTGCTGGTTGAAGGCTGCCTAGTTAAGGGCTTCATCAGGGACTTGTTAACTATGGTGGTTTCTAGGCTGTATCTCCAGATGTTGATGTTTGGGGGCAAGGCCTGAAGGCTGGGAACCTCTCCCTTACCCAGCCTTTCACCCCACATGCTAGAATATATAACCACTCAATCTCACTTTGGGGTCAGTCATTGGAATACTTCTTCCCAATATTAACCTGAATCATTGTCAAATCATGGGTGGGATCCCCTCACGAAGCCAGTGTGCAGATGGGGGCATTTGTGGGGGAATTGTCTCTTCATTCCTTCATGTGGGGACTCTGCAGTCTCCAGGCACAGAGAAAGTAAGTATGTTCTTTGCCATGCCGGGCAGATCCCTGGCTAATCCTTACCCATACAGAGAAAAGACATGGCAGGGGGCCAGGGGCTTTGTGTGAGGAATTAGAAAAGCAACCTCTGTTGGTGATGGCAGGTAGGCACCAGCTGCTGAGAAGTTCAGGGCAAACAAGTGCAGCCCATCTCCTAGGTTGGAGATCATGGTCAGTGTATTCTGCACCATCCCTGGCCTCCTGTAGGATGCTCTGTTCAAGAACCAGCAGCTTTGGGCAGCTGCCTTTGGCCCCTGGGTCTTGTGGGACAGAACAACGAAGACAAAAGAGTTTTGGGGCACGAAGGGAAAGACAGTGCCATCCCTGTGTTCTCTATACTGGCAGACGACTCCCCACCATTCCTCAGGGAACAGCAGGTGTCCAGCGCCAAGCTGGCAGGAAGCTAAAAGCCTACAGTGGGATGCAGTGGGATGTTTGCATTGTGAGCTGTGGACGTACAGCTGGGGTCTGTTCCCCAGATTGTCCACTTGCAGTCTATGTGATTTGGGGTCAAAATATTACCAACTGCCCAACCTTGGACTTGGTTCTTACCCTCCATTGCCCCACCTCTGAATTAAGGAGCTATTTTTGTATCAGAACAAATTAACAAACCTTTCTCCCTTCTACCTTTGTTGCCACCACTCTCCCTCTCAACCTAAGATAACAGAAACACCTAGAAAGAAGAACATTGTATCATTTCCAAATTCTGTTTGGTCTTCCTCTTCAGTAAATTCTCAGTTGGTCAATCACCAATTGACCAGCTGTTTGATAAACTTGGAATGTTTATACTCTATGGGCAACGTTGGTACTGGTTTTTTTTAAAACATTTATTTATTGGAAAGTCAGATATACAGAGAAGAGGAGAGACAGAGAGGAAGATCTTCCATCTGATGATTCACTCCCCAAGTGACCACAATGGCTGATGCTATGCCGATCCGAAGCCAGGATCCAAGAACTTCTTCCAGGTATCCCATACGGGTGCAGGGCCCCAAAGCATTGGGCTGTCCTC